CTCTCTCTCACTCTCTCTCTCTCTCTCACTCTCTCTCTCTCTCAATCTCTGTGAACAGCAATGAAAATCATAAGCGAAAATGCCCTTACACTCAAACTTAATCAGTCTAGCACAACGAAGTCGAAGAAACATACAACCAAAAGTGTCTTATGTACATTGCCGTTATAGATATTTCTTCTAAACTCGACAAGGTGGTGTGCGCTCGGGGTTCGTCGTGATCATATTAATTGATTACTTACTCGGTTACTTGGTTGGAGGCTAGGTAATCATTGCAGGCGGTACATTGACATATCTGCTGCTCCCTCCTCTCCAGGATCCATGAAAGGGTTAGCTTGCTTATTGTGCAAGTTATCAACTGGTTGGACATTCTTCAAGCTTTTCCTCGCATATTGCTGTCTTTCCCCGACCATTACATCATTATCACTATCTTGATCGTTGTCGTTGCTAGAAAGAGCGATTCCAACTGAACCAGCAATACAAAGTGCAGCCCAGACATGAGTGACCGGCGTCTGTGGTGTAGCAGTCAGGCATTTCGCTGTTGCGCTCAGATGTCAAGTGTTCGATTCTTTTGTGGGTAGAATCTGTATCGAATATCTCTGTCTCTCTGCTGGGACATTGTTTCCTCAGCCTAGGTTGCTTATAATGGAGTTGTTTTTTAAGGGGAAAGGGCAGGGGGGGGGGGTATTGAAAATTGAAATAGACTTTCAGCGCAAAAGCGTTTTTGTGAAGAAGTGTTGCCCTTAACAGGCAGGGTCGAAGACCGCCTCGCCTCCCAAATTATGTAAATTGTATCAACACATGCATTTTAAAACATTGTTGTATTTGCAAGACAGGGCAATTTTAACTGGGTCGGCGATAAACATAGAGTAGAGAAAGCAGACCCCAAACGACTGAGCACCATCCACTTGCTACCGATTCTTCCAGATAAAAAACTCAGCTCATAATAATTGACTCTTTGAGACCGACCCTCAGAACCGGTGATGTTATTATTCCGAGGAGGAGATCTATCACCGCATTGACTGGCGGGCGTTGTAAACAAGTTATGATCCTGGCATGATCGCTCATCGTTCATCTGTGTGGTGGGAGCCAGAGTTGAGCAAAACCTGAGCCGTAAATCTGGTTAACTATGTAGGTCACAAGATGGTCGCAAAACATGTTTGTGGGATTGTATTGTCCTCTGACCTTTTCACATGGCAGGTGGTTGATGTTTGAGTGCACGCGCCATGTGTGTGTGTGTGAGTGTGTGTGTGTGTGTGTGTGTGTGTGTGTGTGTGTGTGTGTGTGTGTGTGTGTCTCTCTCTCTCTCTCTCTCTCTCTCTCTCTCTCTTGATTGGTTACTTACTAAGATTTTGAAAGGAAGGGAAAAGTCCATTATTTCGACGTTGTGCAGCCCCCAAGAGCGGTCAGATCTTGCAGTCTCACCTGCATAATATATATATATATATACATATAATACATAATATGGCATTCATTTTTGAGTGTGTGTGTGTCTCTCGGATTTCACGTGGAGTTTGAACTGAAGGAACTGTGTACCCAGCGCATGTGCCTAATTGAGACTTTTGGATATATCACCGCAGTCTCTGCGACTTGACCCTACTTTGTTCTTAGCGTTTTGTGCCTTTTTGTCTGTTTACTTTTTTTCTTTTATGGATGGGGAGCTGTTTCAATATTGCGTTGGTAACAAACTAGTAAAACCAACAGGCGCTGTGAACTATTGTGAATACAAACGACTTGTGTCCCGCTGGCTTAAGTGACGGCTTATGCAATTGCGAGCGTAGTAAAACTTTTACCATATATAAACATTAGAAAAACAAGCTCGTATCATTCGAAACTTTAGATCTACCAAGAAGCGAAGGCCTGTCGTTCGAAATATAGCACAGCCAAATTTTTAGGGGAAGACTATTGACCAATTATCCTTTTGTTAATTTTCTGTCTTGCAACAGACCGTGAAAAACAGCCGTATCCACCTGTACGGTCACCGCCCGACTTCCCAGACCGATACCTTTACGTGGACTTGGGGAGAGCTTCCTTTCTGGACGTATCCACCTTTTCCTTGCTCGTTCACGGAATGGTGATAAACAGATAAGATTTTATAGATTATACTCCACGCTCCACTTTCATTTAATGGCTTGTGGATACAGCGTCTTCTTTCCATATTCTTTTTAGGTATCGATGATAGAAAGGACACCTGCCGGATGGTTTTCGACTATTAGTTTATCAGCTGTTGACTCGCTTACTTTCTTCTAAGTGGAAGAAGTGATACTTCTGATTATTAGTTCTTTCCACTTTCTTTTTAAGTATACGGTGACAAAAAGGATACCTCGGTGACGTTCTATTAGTTTATTTGTAGCGAACTTGCTTGCCTGCTCCCTCGTGAAGTGACAGTTGATGGACGCGACACGTCACTGATGACGTTTGGCTGTTAATTAATCGATTGTGGACGGACACGTAGCCTTTTTCCTTGTACTTTCTTATTACGTGCCACCAGATAAAAACTGGCCCCCCACAGTCTCCTTGCGTCCGACTATTTATAGTTAACAGGCTGTGGAAACGAATACTTTCTGCAATCTCGTGAAGTGGCAGTTGGCAGAAGAGGCTTATCACAGACTTATCACAGACATTTTTAGATTGTTGGTCACAGACTGCTGGTCAGTTGGTCAGACTGTTTGTCAGACTGTTGGTCCGTTGGTCGGGCTGTTGGTCAGACTGTTGGTCAGCCTATCCACCAGTTGGGGTTGGATCAGTAGGCTTTATGTGCCGCCATTGCCTAAGGTCACACCCGGTCGGCGCTGTGGTAAGGAGCAGCTTAATCCACCTGTCCCTCCATCCAGCTCACGCGACGCACCGATACTTACATGTGAACCCGCAGGGAGCTGCCATTGTGGACACGCCTTCTTTCTACTTACGGCGTCGCAGCAGACGATCTTGTTCAAGGAGAGTAGGACGTCATATGCCGAAACTTCTTGGATGTCTCAACTGTATTAAGTGAGTAGATCTAGTAATTTACTGCATGCTTGCCTGAATAGGGTGGCCCTGAAGTTAACCCAAGTAGCACTCTAAAGACCAGTCTGTTATGCTGTGGAGTAACAACACTTGTACACTCTATTAAAATTTAATCAAAAGCTGTGTTTTGACCGTCGAAAAGTATTAATACATGTTCGATTTTGTTTTTAAA